ATGTTTACCTCAGGATGGTCTTGCCTACGATTTAACGTTATACCTTTATTAGGAAAGGAAAGGTAGAAGGATAGTTTGCTTATATTACTGACTTTTATATGCTGTTTATAGAGTAACATCAACGTTATAACTGGGGAATTTGAATGTTTTTGCCGTTGTAAGGCCAAGTCTACCCGTCTGCCACTCAAAGATCATTACCATAGACTAGTCTTGTAGTGCCATGTATAGGAGATACTAGGATATATATAGTTACATACCACAGTACCAATGATTCACTCAACACACACTCTTACCATGTTTGCAATTAGGCCACAGCATGTAACTTTAATCAATGACATCCTCTGCAGACTGCAAGTAAACTTCGAGTCTTTTTGACAGCTTTAGTTACAAAGGACTTTGCTGCGCTCATCTCACTACCTTATTACATTTTGTAAATAGGGAACAGGACGTAGGCTGAAATAATGATGATAAGTTTATTATTATTACAAATACATGACAGAAGGCTAATTGTAAATACGTATATCATACGAAATGATATACAATGATATGAAGAACTAATTCCTACAGTACACTTTAGTCTTTATACTACAGTATATAAGATATATATCAAGCCAGTTTTGTTGGGTTTTACTTGTTCTTTTGATCGCCGAGCCAGTGAATTATACCCACTTCTATAATAATTGTTCTTTGAAATTTTATATGAAAATCATTGCAATGATGATGAAAATCTACAGTAACTGTTGTGTAAAATATTGGAACTACACACTCTATAAAACCATACATACATACTTAAAAGCTATACATGACTTAACTGTTACATATATTATGCAAATTTAACATACATAATGAATATTTACTGGCCAAATTGGAGATATAATGTGTTTCTAGAAATGGTTGTGATGTGCTGTATCCTTCTGTGGATGGCTGGGTTCAGCTCTGTTAGGTTCCTCCCCAGTTTTTCATGGACCAAGTTCTGCTTCCTTTCCTAGCAGAGGTCCAATCTTAAGAGTCTTAAGAGGATACAAACAGGAGAGTAAGCATTTCAAATGTGATCAGAAACTGATATTATCCTTATTATGTTTAGAGAGATAACTTCACGGGATATGCATCATCGGGATACGGAATTTTTCGGGATATGCGTCCCGATAAATCCCGCGAGACATCCGCGTGTCCTGCGTAGCGCGGAGCAGAAAAAATTGGTGCGAGATCTCCAAGTCTACCGCGGGTCCTGTCACCGATGGCGGCGTGCCAAATGTTTATTTTTACGTCCTGTCGGGCGATCTGGGCAGGGCCAATGGAGCACCCTGACGTCAGTCAACTTTGCCAAAATTTTTATTCACCGATAGCACAGGAGTGTATATTGTGTATAACGCGTTCCTCACGCGGTAATAGGTGAACTGCTACATTTTAACAAAGCTATTGTGCAGCGAAAAACTCACGAAAACTGTAAGAAAATAGCAGGAATGAATTTTTAATAACCCCTTTGTCTCCGGTGAGTTTCGGCAAGTTTATAAACCTTCAAATAAAATGGGGCGTACCGGCTCGGCGTCTGTAGTAGTAGTTGTATTTCATTGTGACATCTTGTACTAAACTGGCTTGTTGAGGTCTACTCATCTTCTCATAAGCAGACTGCGTCAAGTAGTCTCTGTATTACGAAAATTAGGAACGTTTGCACA